GGAAAGAGGAAAACAGGTCGCCCACGTCTGCGATTTAAAGATGTCTGTCAAAGGGACATGAAAGCAGCCAAAATACATACAAGTGACTGGGAGTGTAAGGCAAAAGACCGATCTACGTGGCGCACAGTTGTCAAAGAGGGCGTCATGGTAGCCGAGGAACGAAGAATGGAAGAGGCTGCAGACAGAAGAGCTAGGAGAAAGGCCAAAACATTTGGAAGCACGGAACTCGTGTGTAAAAACTGTGGTAAAGACTGTCACTCAAGGATAGGACTGCACAGCCACTCGAGAAAATGCAACCCAAACCAACGGTGATGCACCATCGTCTCACGAGACGGAAGGATGCCGGATATATAAATATATATATACATATAAATATATATATTATATGTGTGTGTTAGTGTGTGTGTGTGTATGTGTGTATGTGTGTGATAAAACAGCTTCATCCTTCATAATTCTAGTTAGTATTATTATTGTATGATAATATATATATATATATATATATATATATATATAAACACACAGTGTTTTATTTGTAAAAAAAATAGGTGCCGGTACTCAGTGATGGATTGCCTAACTTTGAACTACCAGTTCGCACCTCGATGCAAGCTATATCACAACTAAATATATCATATACTAAATGTCTAATTTTAAAATAATTCAATTTTAACAAATTAATAATATAATAAATTAATAATAAACGTTAAAATACAAGAAAAGTTATAAATTTTTACTAACATTGAAAAAGGTGCCGGTACGCCGTACCGGTGCGTACCGGCACAAAAAATGTGCTGTATACATATATATATGTATATATATATATATATATAATTTGGTGAATTTTGCTTTTTATTTACCACCACTCTGGAGTCTTAGCAAGAGTAGGGAACGAGAAAACCAGAGGATCAAATGACAGATGTCTTACATCTGACCGGGGAAAAGTGGTCATGTTTCATCGCTTCTCTGAGACAAATCCCAGATCCGCCCATGACAAGATAATAAAAAAAACTTGTTTACAGTGCTACCCCAGGGTGTCTTGTGAGTTGTGGTAGAGACGACACCAGACTTAAATACTTAATTCTATAGTAAATATTTCAAGGGCGCCCGTCCATAACTTTAATAATACGTTCAGACTATGACCAATGGAAACATAGTGTCAAGGTCATGAAATCATGAGGTAGTGTGTGTGTGTTGATTTGAGGACGAGTGCGGATTGTGAACTAATTTCATGTCACGGGCGAATGATAGTGGAGTGAACGAGGCATGAGATTTGGGGTATAAAGGGTTCACAGACGGGAGAGTGGGAGGAGAAGAATTATTATGTCACGGGGGATTACGTTCACAGAGGTTAGACGAGAGATAGGACTCGCTACAGCGAGACGTCTTTCTTTGGGAGATAGTGGATTTTGTCATGATATGTTTTGTTGATTGGAATATTGCCATATACGTTGGATTCATGTTCACTAAACTACGAGACGCATTAATCTAGTAATGCGATCAGTAAATAAATGTCTTATGTACCTTGAAGCGTATTGTTTTGATGAATCAAACTAGTCTGTTGTGTGACAAGATTTACAAGAAATGTAAACAAAAGCGAGAATCATAAACCTAAACAATGAGCCAAATATTCAACAACTAGAATATTTGACACATAGCTATACGATTATTTGTTTGCGATGTCCATTGTCACCCAAAAAAGGATTTAATTCAGTGTCAGAAGAAGTAAAACAATAAATAAAGACAAACGTTTAATTTAAAGAAATTAATATACGACATTTAGCGACGTCGTGGATATGTGCATCACAGCTCCTAAAAAATGCAGAGCAAATACATCAAATGAACATTTATAATGGGTGTGTATTTTCCGTCTCGATTAGTTGCTAATTTTTTCTGATTACACCAGTCAGGTGTAAAAAAAATGGTATACTTTCTCGTTGAAAGCTTAAACTATATAAGAGTCAAATTTTATATTTCGATGCTTGGCTATTGAACTCAAGTCTAGAAGATGGGGGCGGACTTTAATTTAAACCACTGTGCCAAAAAAAAAAAAACTCGACCCTACACTAGAAAACTATAATACTAGAATGTTTGACCTGCCCAAGAAGCTGACCCCGAAAGCAAGGCTGTTCACAGAAAACACGGTGGTTTATAGGACGATAGCCAAAAGTACTAACCAGGGCCAGCTACAACAGGATCTCCATCGGTTAGCTGAGTGGTAGAAGAGCTGGGACATGGAATTTCATCCTGCGGAATGACATACACTATAACTCTCCAGAAGTAGACCCCCTCTACACCAACCTTATGAACTGCATGGCCGTAAGGTACATCGGTGTTACCGTTCAAAGAGATGTCCGTTAAGACTAGCACATTAACAATGTGTGAAACAGGACAAACAAGACCCGAGGGTTCCTAAGACGAATTCTAAGGATCGGCAACTCCAGTACGAAAGAAAACGCGTATCAAGCATTTGTGGGGCCGATTTTAGTTTACGCATCTTCAGTCTGGGACCCAGTCCCACAGAAGAGCATCGACGGGTTGGAAGCCTTCCAGAGACGGCCAGAACGCTTTTTCCTGAACCGCTACAGTAACACTTTATGTTGGCAACATGCTGGAGCGATTATCCAGGCTCTCCATGATGTTCTAGCCAGAAAATGGGCTGGTCCACTGCTCCAGCATTATGGGTTGGTCCACTGCTCCAGCATTATGGGCTGGTCCACTGCTCCAGCATTAAACAAACCTCATCCATCTCCCCCCTAGACAGCGACGAGGCCACGAAAGGCTTTTCCTGCTAATAAAAACAAGAATTCAGTACAGGGGCTCCTCATTCCTTCCAACGACAATAAGGGGCTAGAACAAGCTTCCAAAATGAACAGTTCAGGCGATAATACTTTGCACAATTGAGTTTATTGCCTCAGATCTTCCAACCCCTATATCCTGATATTTTCGCTGATAGCCCTTGCAACAAGGGAAATATTCTCTTGAAAACCATGCACAGAAACATCGCAAATCCACGCTACCAATACATGAGCAAGAAAGATCAAGACATTGATCGCGGGCACTCAAATTATAAATGAAAAAGTAGATTTCAACACAGGCCACGTCTTACACACAGACTCGTCCAAAAGTTCCATTATGGTAAAAAAATGTCCTTCTTATCACTTTATTTGGCAGAGCAGTACCAATGGATCTCACGATTATTTCATGTGGGCAGGAATCTGTATTTGCCCATTCGCCGACACCCTCTGTCTTCTTGCACTCCACAAATTAGATGTATAAATTTATTGATTGGTAAACAAGTCAATGTCACTTCCAGTGTGGGCAGTGTCTTTGCTTGAACTTTCATGATTTTGAAGATATAAGTTGTAAGATGTGGTAGATGTAATCTACCCTGACAAGAATTACACTTTGATTTCAATGAAGGGGGCCTGCCTTCTCCCATGCATTCAGTTAAATCACTGAATATCTGGTAAAACCTCATGAGTCTTTTTATATCATCAATAATGTTCATAGTTAAACCGCACATGAGCTACATTGTATACAAAACAGTGTTACGCACTGCCTCCTATAGTGAGAACTAAATCTCGTTTTTTAATTGTATGGCTCGTTCAAACAGTGCATAACAAAAGGACGATAAAATAGAGAAATACCATAGCAAAAATGCACCACTCAAAACAGCACTAATTGCTAGTAATAAGATTTATTTACGTATTAATATAATTACTAAACGAAAGAAACATAACAATCATCAATTTACAGAGTATGAGAAGCCTTTTACCGGTACACAGTTAGTACAATGTGCCAATTAATAAAGTACAATGATGAATGCGAATAAGCACATATGAATGCACACTTGTCTCATGAAGTGAAAAATATCTATCAATCGAATCTGTCTGTCAATCTTCATGAATCCGTGTCCCTGTCAACCCCTTACATATGCAGCGTAAGACGCTTTTCAGAAACGACTTAGACATTGTTTACTTTTGTAGTCAAATCGCGAACGTTCCACAACATACTATAAGAACTATCAAAAGAAAATAGGCCACGCCCAACACGTACCCAGTCCAATCTGGGGCCAACCAGAGTTCAAGGCACCGGGAAGGTGTAGTAAACGCGCCCTACATTACAACAGTATTCTGATCAAGCATTACACTTTAAAATCCATTCTCAGTTTCAAGACCAAAAAATCTCATTTTGTCACATTATTTTTTTTTATAAGTACAATGATCTTATTGCATCAAATTAAATATTTATTCCATAATACGAGTTTAGGAAAATTCAATCACACTTCCTTTTTTGAAAGTATTCTTAGTTTTACATAATTGACTTTTCTTCAGAATCAGTTGGTCTCAATGTATTAACTTTAACAAGGTTGATCAACACGTTTGAATGTTCGAGTGAAATTCTGCCAACCATTCATGCAAAAAAATTTTACATGATGCAAAATAAAGTATGTTGAAAAAAATAAATATTTATGCGTAACATATTACGATAAGTAACTTGTGTTTAAAAAAAAAATTGTGGAAAGTTTTTGTCCACTATGTTTTACAATGGGGAAAGTTTCTCTCTCCGGGAATGCTACGGCACGACAACAATTGAGAATCACCGATGCCCAGTGTATCCAGTAAGCGTTTGTTAAAAAGGCATAGCCGCCGAGTGATGTGTCATGTGTGTCATGATTATTTGCCTTACACATCCTCATGAGGTTTGAGTTTGAGGAAGGTATTTGTTGATCATGAATGGTTGATTTTTCTGAAAACAATTAACTATCACATTAAACGATGTTAAACAGATCATGTGCACACACAAATGTCACTTGCATTAATGGACCTAATAACGGAACAAATTTGACATTGCCAAGTAAGCATTACTTTTTTCTAATAGCATCCATTTGTCATTAATTTCTCATTATCTATAATTGTAGATTTCTTAAAAATTTAGCATAAAATGTGTCAATATTATCTAATATTTATAGACATAACAAGATAATAACAAGATCTACATTAAGGAAGTACCAAAAACTATGATATTTTTTATATCATATAGTAACTATCCATAAAATCTCTACTGCCTAGACCCCCATCGTCTTGATTGACCCTGTATAGAAATGGATTAAGGTAGAAATTTAAAAAACAAATCATTAAACATACAATCAATTTTATATATCATTATCCTCTACACGTTAAAGCAACACTCCTGCCACCACCTAGGAACGGCACCGACAACATTTTAGTTATCGCCACCATTGGAGCGCCAGCTATTACAGCGATATTACTGGCTTTATCAATCATGACGTTGGTCATCTACTGGAAGTGAGTAACATTGTCATGTGTATGTTCAAAATATGGCTTGAAAAGTATCTAATTATGAATCAAATTAAATATGTGAAAATAATATTATTAAGAGCCTTTTATATATGACGTCAGCTGTCAGTTACATTTAAATAGTTGTAATCGAAATGGTCAAATGGCATTTGGCAGTTTTTTTTCAACATACTTTAAAATTACTACTCTCTTGAATTACCAATTTTCAAATTTAGATGTTAATCGGAAAATTTGTCCCGTCGTTGCTTTAATTATTTTTTTAAAAATAAAAATAAATATTTAGGCTAAATTTGATCTACAAAATAATCTTACCTTGTAATCAAATTATAATCTACGATATTCGTGTAAATGCAAGATTTTATCTTAATATTTTATAATATTATAAATTATAATATCAAGTTTTTGGATACGATACTGTTTAATATTGCACAACTACAGGAACCGTGGGCGAGACTATCGTCAAAGAGAAGATAGTTATGATTTCATCAAGGAGATCTCCACACCAACCAAAATCAACCAGGCTAGACACAGTCAAATTGAATCCACACCAACAACCACCAACCAGATCAGAGCCAGCCATAATAAATCCACAGCAAGAACCACCAACCAGACAAGACACAGTACTATTGAATCCACACCAACCCCTGGCAACCAGATCAGAGTCAGTCCCCTTGAGGTCTCATCTACCGTTGTGACATAACTTAGAATAAAAGAAATAAGTTAAAGTAATGTTACATTTTATATCACAAATCTCTTTTTTTTTTACAGTTAAGACTTAAATGTCTAGCTTAATGCGGGAAATTATTATGTAATATTATGATACATGCATAGTTTAAATTGTTCATGGCATGACGTCATAGTTCTGTTACAATCTGTTTACAATTTTATGCGTTACTCGGGGATGTTTCAGGGAAAATAAACGTTTCAAAATTGATGAAAGTGGATGATTTAGTTGAGTGTTTCTTATAATGTTTTGTTTGAAGTGTTTATTTTCGAAGTGCGTATGTATGGCAGTAACGGTGTGTTCAATTGCTGCGCACACGCTGTGTTCAAGTGCTGCGCACAGGCTGTGTTTATTTGGTGCGAACACGCTGCGTTCAATTGCCGCACACACGCTGTTTTCAATTGCTGCGCACAGGCTGTGTTCATTTGGTGCGAACACGCTGCGTTCAATTGCCGCACACACGCTGTTTTCAATTGCTGCGCACAGGCTGTGTTCATTTGGTGCGAACACGCTGCGTTCAATTG